TGTGGTAGCTCTTCGCTGTGTCCATTTCTGGTGTCCCCCGCCATGATATTGATGGAATATTGCTAAAAGCGACGTCAAACCACACTCAATACTCACTCACTCATTCACTTCTTTGTGGAAGCTCTTTTTTGTGCAGATGCTCTGTGTAGACGTTCTTTTTGTGCAGACGATTTGTGTAAAAGCTCTTTTCTGTCCAGAAGTTTTGTGTGGAAGCTCTTTTCTGTGCAGACCTAGTGTGTGGAAGCTCTTTTCTGTGCAGACCTAGTGTGTGGAAGCTCTTTTCTGTGCAGACCCAGTGTGTGGAAGCTCTTTTCAGTGCAGGCCCAGTGTGTGGAAGCTCTTTTCTGTGCAGACCCAGTGTGTGGAAGCTCTTTTCTGTGCAGACCCAGTGTGTGGAAGCTCTTTTCAGTGCAGACCCAGTGTGTGGAGGCTCTTTTCTGTGCAGACCCAGTGTGTGGAAGCTCTTTTCTGTGCAGACCCAGTGTGTGGAAGCTCTTTTCAGTGCAGACCCAGTGTGTGGAAGCTCTTTTCTGTGCAGACCCAGTGTGTGGAAGCTCTTTTCTGTTCAGACCCAGTGTGTGGAAGCTCTTTTCTGTGCAGACCCAGTGTGTGGAAGCTCTTTTCTGTGCAGACCCAGTGTGTGGAAGCTCTTTTCTGTGCAGACCCAGTGTGTGGAAGCTCTTTTCTGTTCAGACCTAGTGTGTTGAAGCTCTTTTCTGTGCAGACCCAGTGTGTGGAAGCTCTTTTCTGTGCAGACCCAGTGTGTGGAAGCTCTTTTCTGTGCAGACCCAGTGTGTGGAAGCTCTTTCTGTACACTGCAGACACTCTTTGTAGAATCTGTATGGAATCTGAAATGTGTTTGTATTCACTTTCACGTACAACTGCAAATGCACGTGCGGGTAAGGGTATAAAACGATTGCAACGGCAAGTCAGACATCCACAGTGATAAAAAAAACACACAAAAGAAATGCCACGACTCACAGTCGAACAACGTGAACGAGCCTTGGGTATGGTACAGATGGGAGCCACCCACGCCCATATTGCACGAACCTTCGGTTGCTCCCTTGTTGCCGTTACCAACTTGATGCAACGTTACAGACAGACAGACAGGGCGGACCCCTGACAGGCCAAGAACAGGCAGACCCAGGGTGACCACGCCCCATGATGACCGCGGTACTTGCGTACCTTGCACCTCCGAAATCGCTTCCTGACAGTGACGTCATCGGCGACAAATGCCTTAGGTCACAGGGTTAGTCGACAGACAGTGGCCAGGAGACTCAGGGCTCATGGAATCAGGGCTTTTAGACCATACAGAGGACAGCTATTGACAGCGCAACATCGTCGTCTGCGATTGAGCTGGGCCCGGACTGTACGACGTTGACAACAACGTGACTGGCAGAGGGTTGTCTTCACTGACGTAAGTCGATTCTGTATGTTTAGGGCTGATGGAAGACAACGTGTTTACCGCCGAAGGGGTGAACGAACGGCGGCGTGTTGCGTGCAGGAGGTCGTACCATATGGTGGAGGGAGTGTCACGGTGTGGGGAGGGATCTGTGGGCAGGAGAGGACACCGCTGGTCATCGTTGACGGAAACTTGACAACTCAGCGTTACATGGATAACATTCTTCGTCCAGTTGTCCTACCATTTCTCCAACAGCATCCACGTGGTGTCATTTATCAGCATGATAACGCTAGAGTCCATACAGCCAGAATTGTCACTAACTTCCTCGCAGCCAACAACGTCAACGTCCTGCCGTGGCCTGCACGCTCTCCCGACATGTCCCCCATTTTCTGTACGTCGAAGCGTTTTTGCGTGTATTGAGGCATTTGGTGGTCACACACGCTACTAATGAATTGTTATTGAACGTGAGCGATTGTTTATGTTACTGCCTATTGTGCATGATTCTGAAAGCTCGAGTTTTGTACCACACCCAACTTTGGGGGGCTCTGACGTCATTCTCGGTCGCGGTATGATTGTCATTTTCAGTATTGATTATGTTGATATATTGATCTTCTCAATACACTTTACTTCATGCATGTATGTTTTGTTGTTTTTGAGCAAGAGTGATTTCAAACTCTGGTAAAGTTTCTTTTGGAGTTTATTTTTCAAGCATTCATCCACCCACCGTCCACCCCCACTCAACAAAAACAAAAAAAAGATCAAATGGTCGGTCCAATACATTCACTTACAATTTTGTAAACAAGCCGTGTATTTCACTATTCGACCATTTTCTGGTGTCTCCAGTCAGCCTGAGATATTGCTAAAATTGTACTAAAGCCATAGTTACTCACCCACTCTAACCTTCCCATTGCCATGTCACGATCCTATTGTTATAGTCGTGCATTAAACGAGCAAAGTCTGTAAACAACAGGAAATTCTTAGAGTTCTTGACCCGAAGATCAGAGATGACACTCTGTGACATGTTTCATATATGCAGCCATAAAGTGGTTCAATTTCCTGAAGGAAGGAAGTCGTAACTCGACGAGTCCGTCTCTCCTCATCCTCATTGATGTACTGGGTTGTACACCAGGCTATAACACTTGCATTGTCCCAGCAGGACACCAGGGTACCAAACATTGCTCTTTCATGCATGGAAGATGACCCTGCAGATGGTCAGGCATTATTGCGGTCAACACTCCAAGCTATTTCCAGATAAATGTTGTCATGGTTACGAGATTCCATTGCACACACAAAGCTTCTGCGAGTTATAATTGATATAAAAGCATTTATGAAGATGTCATACTAATGCTTCAGGGAGTAGAAAGTTGACGGCATGTCATACTAGTATATTGAAATGCTTTGTGTACATCTGCCGCATATCTTACTTATATAGAAGCCCTTGGAATAAACCTGTCATACACAGAAACCCTTAGAATACACCTGTCATACACGGGAACCTTTGGAATACACCTGTCGTGCACAAAAACCTTTGGAATACACCTGTCATACACAGAAACTCTTGGAATACACGTGCCATACACAAAACCCTTGGAATACACCTGTTATACACAAAAACCCTTGGAATACACCAGTCATATACAGAAACCCTTGGAATACACCTGTCGTGCACAGAAACCCTTGGAATACACCTGTCATGCACAGAAACCCTTGGAATACATCTGTCACATATAGAAACCCTTGGAATACGCCTGTCACATACAGAAACCCTTGGAATACATCTGTCACATATAGAAACCCTTGGAATACGCCTGTCATACAAAAACCCTTGGAATACACCTGCCATTTACAGAAACCCTTTGAATACACCTGTTATAAACAGAGACCCTTGGCATACACCTGTTATATACAGAAACCAATGGAATACATCTGCCATATACAGAAACCCTTGGAATACACCTGTTATATACAGAAACCCTTGGGATACAACTGTCATGCACAGAAACCCTTGGAATACACCTGTCATGCACAGAAACTCTTGGATTACACCTGCCATATACAGAAACCCTTGGAATACACCTGTCATGCACAGAAACCCTTGGAATACACCTGTCATGCACAGAAACCCTTGGAATACACCTGCCATATACAGAAACCCTTGGAATTCACCTGCCATACACAGAAACCCTTGGAATACGTCTGTCATATACAGGAACCCTTGGAATACACCTGTTATATACAGAGACCTTTGGCATACGCCTGTTATATACAGAAACCAATGGAATACACCTGCAATACACAGAAACCCTTTGAATACACCTGCCATGCACAGAAACCCTTGGAATACGTCTGTCATACACAGAAACCCTTGGAATTCACCTGCCACGTACAGAAACCCTTGGAATACACCTGTCATACACAGAATCCCTTGGAATACACCTGTCATACACAGAATCCCTTGGAATACACCTGCCATACACAGAAACCCTTGGCTTACACCTGTCATACACACAAACCCTTGGAATACACCTGTCACATACAGAAACCCTTGGAATACATCTGTCAAATATAAAACCCTTGGAATACACCTGCCATATACAGAACCCCTTGGAATACACCTGTCATGCACAAAAACCCTTGGAATACATCTGTCATACACAGAAACCATTGGAATTCACCTGCCACACACAGAAACCCTTGGAATACACCTGTCACATACAGAAACCCTTGGAATACAGCTGTCAAATATAAAACCCTTTGAATACACCTGTCATGCACAGAAACCCTTGGAATACACCTGTCATGCACAGAAACCCTTGGATTACGCCTGCCATATACAGAAACTCTTGGAATACACCTGTCATGCACAGAAACCCTTGGAATACACCAGTCATGCACAGAAACCCTTGGAATACACCTGCCATATACAGAAACTCTTGGAATACACCTGTCATGCACAGAAACCCTTGGAATACACCAGTCATGCACAGAAACCCTTGGAATACACCTGGCATGCACAGAAACCCTTGGAATACACCTGTTTTACGAAGATACGAAGAAAATATCCGTATATACACACATATATATATTCGAATACACCTCTCATATAAAGACTTTTCTTTGACTTAACGTGTTAAGAGGTATCCTTCGAATACACATGTCATATACAGAAACCCTTCGAATTCACCTGTCGTAATCAGATTGTCTTCGAATACACTTGTAATATATAAACACCCTTCAGATACACGATAATATACAGAATACCGTCGAATACACCTACCATATACAAACACTATTCGAGTCAACCTATCGTATACAAAGAAGAAACCCATCCAGCTCATCTTCCGAACAAAAGTATTGAGAATTATGTCTTATCTGGAAACTACGTCACACTGAAGTGAAGCTACTTCAAAGTATGGTTAAGTGTGTGCCCCGTGCTGCCGTCCCCCATTCTACTATCGCCACACTTTCAGGTAATCGCCACTGTATAGATACAGCGTGACAATAGCTAGGTATGCGGTATCGACATAATTCGTCTTATTTTGTACATTCAGCATCAGCGTTATCGCGACAAGTGATGACAATGTGAGTGACGCAAAGTTCACATCAGATTGTGGGCTACATAGATAGCAAAATGAGCCGTGTTTATCACTGGTGACGTGTGCTTGTCACATCTAACCTGGTGACAGCTTCACCATACGGTCTCTGCAGACACTGATACGCGAGGGGCCTACCATCACTCGGCATAATCTGTGTCGCACATCGGAACTCTTGGTTGAAAAGTGATATTTGAAGTAGCTAATTCTGTATGGATAGAGGTATCCGGTCATCTGACAGCACAGGACAAACCTGCTCAACATCGAACAGGATGGTCGGGAGACGGTTTGTATGTTATTTTAGTGCCATTCTCTTTGTAACCTGCTTCCTCGGTATCTATTACACATACTTCAAAAGACCACCGCTCGATGAACTCATGCGTATGAACAGCAAAAGAACATTTTCGACCAGAGCACGAAGCGACACAAATGACACAGTAGCCAATATGGATGAAGATGGCTTGACGGACGGGAAAGTTGACGCCAGTGCGGAACACTGGGGGAGTTTTGTTCGCAGGAATAGCTTTATATCGGTGGGAGAAGTGTGGGACCGCGGCTGCGGTAAGTCTTTATACAAATTATGGTTTCAAATACACCTGTATCTCACACAAGATGTAGTTTTGTTCTCGATGTCAATATATTTCGATAGTTTTGTAGGTAATTAACGATATTTTACAATTACATTTCAACCCCATATAAACACATGATTTGAAATAATGACACAGACCTCTCACATAACGGATCGACATGAGGATCATTTTTAGGTCTGACATATTGCGAAGATATTAGTGTTCATTGACAACAAGAGCTATGTAGCTGCTAGCCGGATAACTGAGAGCACTGGGTGTAGCGGGTTTCCAGTTGATGGTCTTTGCGGCCATTGTTATTAAAGTATATACCAAACTAACCAGTGTTACGATGTACTATATATTATATGCACATAGCGACTCCACAAGTCCTAGGGCGGTGGGGTAGCCTACTGGTTTAAGCGTTCGCTCGTCACGGGTTCGATTCCCCATATGGGAACAATGAAGCCCATTCCTGGTGTCCCCCGCCGTGATATTGCTGGAATATTGCTGAAAGAGGCGTAAAACGATAATCACTAACGCATACGGTGTCTGTCATACGCATACGCAACTCGGGCGATGGAACACAATCAGGGCAAATACATCAATAACTGTTGTCATTTGAACGTTACCACAAACTGCCCAAACAGTTTAGATCAGGGCCCTTTTTACAAAACATCACGAATGCCATTAGTCTTTGTGAAACGGGGCCCATGATTATAAAAACACTTTCTTCACCTCTTGTCTGACAGACCGATACATGTCACGCTAAGAAAGGTACAATGAACGGCAAGGATAAACTGTAAAATTTGTTAAGATCCTGGACACAAACCTTGTCCCAAAAGTTTGAAGCATTATGGTTCTAAATGTGTGTAGGATTGTTTTTAACAGCTAAACGTGTTCAGGGTCTTAATGTGTTTAGGATTGTGTTTCACAGCTCAACATGTTCAGGGTCTAAATGTGTTTAGGATTGTGTTTAACAGCTGAACGTGTTCAGGGTCTAAATGTGTTTAGGATTGTGTTTAACAGCTATACATGTTCAGGGTCTAAATGTGTGTAGGATTGTGTTTAACAGCTAAATGTGTTCAGGGTCTAAATGTGTGTAAGAGTGTGTTTAACAGCTATACATGTTCAGGGTCTAAATGTGTGTAGGATTGTGTTTAACAGCTATACATGTTCAGGGTCTAAATGTGTTTAGGATTGTGTTTAACAGCTAAATGTGTTCAGGGTCTAAATGTGTGTAAGAGTGTGTTTAACAGCTGAACATGTTCAGGGTCTAAATGTGTTTAGGATTGTGTTTAACAGCTGAACGTGTTCAGGGTCTTAATGTGTGTGGGAGTGTGTTTAACAGCTGAACGTGTTCAGGGTCTTAATGTGTTTAGGTTGTTTTTAACAGCTAAACGTGTTCAGGGTCTAAATGTGTTTAGGATTGTGTTTAACAGCTGAACGTGTTCAGGGTCTTAATGTGTTTAGGATTGTGTTTAACAGCTGAACGTGTTCAGGGTCTTAATATGTTTAGGAGTGTGTTTAACAGCTAAACGTGTTCAGGGTCTAAATGTGTTTAGGATTGTGTTTAACAGATAAACGTGTTCAGGGTCTTAATGTATGTAGGAGTGTGTTTAACAGCTAAACGTGTTCAGGGTCTAAATGTGTTTAGGATTGTGTTTAACAGCTAAACGTGTTCAGGGTCTTAATGAGTTTAGGATTGTGTTTAACAGCTGAACGTGTTCAGGGTCTAAATGTGTGTAGGATTGTGTTTAACAGCTTAACATGTTCAGGGTCTAAATGTGTTTAGGATTGTGTTTAACAGCTGAACGTGTTCAGGGTCTAAATGTGTTTAGGATTGTGTTTAACAGCTAAACGTGTTCAGGGTCTAAATGTGTTTAGGATTGTGTTTAACAGCTGAACGTGTTCAGGGTCTTAATGTGTTTAGGATTGTGTTTAACAGCTGAACGTGTTCAGGGTCTAAATGTGTTTAGGATTGTGTTTAACAGCTATACATGTTCAGGGTCTAAATGTGTGTAGGATTGTGTTTAACAGCTAAACATGTTCAGGGTCTAAATGTGTGTAAAAGTGTGTTAAACAGCTCAACATGTTCAGGGTCTAAATGTGTTTAGGATTGTGTTTAACAGCTGAACGTGTTCAGGGTCTAAATGTGTTTAGGATTGTGTTTAACAGTTAAATGTGTTCAGAGTCTAAATGTGTTTAGGATTGTGTGTAACAGCTGCACGTGTTCAGGGTCTTAATGTGTTTAGGATTGTGTTTAACAGCTGAACGTGTTCAGGGTCTAAATGTGTTCAGGATTGTGTTTAACAGCTATACATGTTCAGGGTCTAAATGTGTTTAGGATTGTGTTTAACAGCTAAATGTGTTCAGGGTCTAAATGTGTGTAAAAGTGTGTTTAACAACTCAACATGATCAGGGTCTAAATGTGTGTAGGATTGTGTTTAACAGCTGAACGTGTTCAGGGTCTAAACGTGTTCAGGGTCTAAATGTGTGTAGGAGTGTGTTTAACAGCTAAACGTGTTCAGGGTCTAAATGTGTTTAGGATTGTGTTTAACAGCTAAACGTGTTCAGGGTCTTAATGAGTTTAGGATTGTGTTTAACAGCTGAACGTGTTCAGGGTCTAAATGTGTGTAGGATTGTGTTTAACAGCTATACATGTTCAGGGTCTAAATGTGTTTAGGATTGTGTTTAACAGCTAAACGTGTTCAGGGTCTAAATGTGTTTAGGATTGTGTTTAACAGCTAAACGTGTTCAGGGTCTAAATGTGTTTAGGATTGTGTTTAACAGCTGAACGTGTTCAGGGTCTAAATGTGTTTAGGATTGTGTTTAACAGTTAAATGTGTTCAGGGTCTAAATGTGTTTAGGATTGTGTTTAACAGCTCAACATGTTCAGGGTCTAAATGTGTGTAGGATTGTGTTTAACAGCTAAACATGTTCAGGGTCTAAATGTGTGTAGGATTGTGTTTAACAGCTAAACATGTTCAGGGTCTAAATGTGTTTAGGATTGTGTTTAACAGCTGAACTTGTTCAGGGTCTAAATGTGTTTAGGATTGTGTTTAACAGCTATACATGTTCAGGGTCTAAATGTGTGTAGGATTGTGTTTAACAGCTGAACATGTTCAGGGTCTAAATGTGTTTAGGATTGTGTTTAACAGCTCAACATGTTCAGGGTCTAAATGTGTTTAGGATTGTGTTTAACAGCTGAACGTGTTCAGGGTCTAAATGTGTTTAGGATTGTGTTTAACAGCTCAACATGTTCAGGGTCTAAATGTGTGTAGGATTGTGTTTAACAGCTAAACATGTTCAGGGTCTAAATGTGTGTAGGATTGTGTTTAACAGCTAAACATGTTCAGGGTCTAAATGTTAGAAAGACCCGTATGCCCCCCCCCCCCCCCCCCTCACTGTAGGTTATGTTTTTTAGTTAGATTGGGATATAGAAGTATCGGGGATTACTTAAAAACGGTGGGGGTCTATCGTAGTAATCAGACATATTTTCAGTCAGCTTCTGATTCCTGTATGATAGCAATACTATTAGTTACACAGCAACAACACATTTATTAACACAGCACTTGTATAACCTTGGCGAAAAACGAAACTGTAATTTTTTGTCATCACCAATATTATCATGTTAATATTGTACCAGACCCGTGAAGATACGGAGTAGAATAGGGTCTCCAGCAACCAATGCTTGCCGTAAGAGGTGACAAACGGGATCGGGTGGTCAATCACTTGATTGTCTGGTCCAGAGTCGATTATTTACAGACCGACGTCATATAGCTGGAATATTGTTGAGTGCGGTGTTAAACAACAGACAAACACATAATATTGTACCAAGTTCGTTGTAAGGTACGTAATGGTACGTAATGATATATGTGTTATGCAAGTGCCCGTGAATCTGATGTGCACATCTAATTTCATTATACATTATTCATTGCATCCATATTTGACTTAATCCCAAGTGATATGCACTTTATTTAAACATGTTTCGATTATTAAGATAATACACAATGATATTTTTCATACCTCCATATCAGAATGATGAAGTCTGATTGGTCCACGTGATAAAATACTATGTATCCCACCAGGGAGGTTAAATATAATCACATCAAGATGAGACGTATTTCTGTAATGAGCGGAAAAGGATATGTTTCTATCATTAAACGAAAATGAAACAATGAGTAAGTCTGTGACCCAAGATGGATTTGTCTCATTTGTCTGTGTTGTGTAAGAAAATAGGTTTTGGTCAAACACTTAGTGCAACCTATAAACTGAACTCTCTTGACACATTTGGTGTTGTTAATAGTCCATAACTTGCAGGTGTTGAAAGGAACCAAGTTTTATTCACATGAACGTAATACGATGCTGATAACAACGTCGCTGTCAACAACCAGTGCTCTGCCGACCATGTCAGTTTGAGGCGATCATACATATACTGTCAATTGTTTATGTTTTTAATCCTCTCATTTCTCCATGACACACTTGGCCAGAATCAGACCAGCAGCCCCAGGAACCGAAGACAACCCAGTTCCTGGAGTACTACTCCACATCTGGACTTTCAATATGTTGAATGGCACGGACATCAATCCACGTAACAAACTTGCTTCTTTCGATAATAGTGATTCATATTGTAATGCAATAACGAATAGCTACGCGTATGTATCTGTTACCAGACGAGAAAGGACGCAAGACAATTGGGACCGTCGTCATGATGCCTGACAAAGAAACAGGGGAGTTGAAAACCAGGACCTTCGTCAACTACACATTACGTGAGTAACTTACCTTTACTTTCATGCATCGCTCACAGCGACACGATAACTATAGACTTACGTGTTCGGAATGTCTTGTACTTCCTAGGGGTGGTTGGCTGGAGATGCCGTTATGTCCTGAACTAAGTACATTGTCCTACTCCTTTCACAGAAATTAACGGAGGTGTTTTGAAGCAGTGAAAGTCAAACGTCCTGTCACAAAAATCCCAGAACGCCACCTCTCGAGCTTTGCGAGAAGGACGGAATCACTTCAAGAATCAAATATGAAAATGAGCTTCAATGTTGTGCATCTTTTCAACCCAAAGTGTTCATGGGCGTCTATATCTAAAAATTTGGAAAGCGTTCGTGCTTAAATAGACAGTGGCTTCGTTACACTGTTTGTTTAACCATCCAACCAACAACACATCGACGCCCTGAATGGGTTTTAACCAATGTTGTGTTATTGTGTGGAGAATGTTCATGCTAGTTTCTAGTTGTACCATCACCTTTACTGCAGATGAAGATGTGGAGGAAGGCGAGTTTTACCTGGATGTGAAGTATAACAACAATAACCTATTTGACAACCACTGGGACCTGTGTACGCTAGAAGACGAAACCGACCAAGACAAAAGGACAATCGTTTGCCCAATAAAGAGTGGATTCAAGAGCGAAATAAAGGACCGCGAGATTCCCTCTTATCTGCCCAAAGTACGTTTAGACAATAGTTGAGTCGTGAAGTTGAATATGGTGATACGCTGTGATATAACTGAACAAATGTGTAATTTGGCGTTAAACCAAACTCATACTACCCTGTTAATATAGTGTGTATTAATACCCTACCTTATAGTGTGTATTAATACCCTATTCACATAGTGCGTATTAAAACCCCACTCACAGTTTCTATTAATAACCTACTCATGTAATGTGTATTAATACCCCACTCACGCAGTGTATATAAATACCCTACTCACGCAGTGTGTATTAATACCCTACTCACCCAGTGTGCATTAATATCCCACCCAGTAATACTCTACTCACGTACTTTGTAGTAATTCCCAACTCCCATGGTGTAGTAATACCCTATTCACATAATGTGTATTAATACCTCATTCACAGTGTGTATTAATACCCTGTTCACATACTATGCTTTTATACCTGACTCACATGGTGTGTATTAATACCTGACTCACATAGTGTGTAATAATACCTGACTCACACAGTGTGTATTAATACCTGATTCACATAGTGTGTGTTTATACCCTATTCGCATAGTGTGTATTAATACCTGACGCACATAGTGTGTTTTAATACCCTATCCACACAGTGTGTATTAGTACTTGACTCACATAGTGTGTATTAATACCTGACTCACATAGTGTGTATTAATACCCTACTTACATAGTGTGTATTAATACTCGACTCACATAGTGTGTATTAATACCCTATTCACATACTATGTATTAATACCCTACTCACATAGTGTATTTATACCTGACTCATATAGAGTGTAGTTATGCCTGACTCACATAGTATGTGTTAATACCCTACTCATATGTTGTGTATTATAACCTATTGTCAATGTATTTATACCCTACTCACGTAGTATGTACTGACTTCCTGTTTCAGGGCGAGTACTACACCCGCTCCTGGATCACCAATGAGAAGGGAGTTACAATTGTGTGCGGCTACTCGGACTTTGTGTTATAATACATTGTGGGCAGAATGCATGTCACCAGTGCACGGTGTGAAGACATTCAACGACCATATTGTTTATCTGTCGGTCGCGGTGTGCAGTCACTTGATGGGTTTTTTGTTGCATTGTTTCATAAGACTAATCTCGTTAAATATGTTCAAGTTATTGTAAGAGCTGTTTTGTGTATGACTGCAACAATGGCTTTTTGTTGGAGAGAGTGGTTCGTAACCTTTATTCTGATACTAGTATACCGTTGTAAAACAATTAGTATCACGCTATTTATACAATGACGATATACCTCAGTGTATACTTCTGTGTATCAACTCTGCTGTGATCAATCTGTCAAAGTTCCCCGTGACTGCCAGACTTAAAACGTTTTGGCAGAAGGGGGATTATAAGACGTTTGTACACATTTTAGAATTATAAAACAGTTTAAACTATTTGGTATGGTGGATTTGGTTTGTTTAGGACCAGCGTACAGGCACACGACGTGCAACGGATGTATCATCTGACTTTAACATTCTTCCCAAATACATGGCCAACATTGTATCGTCCATCTACACACAGTGAGTTGGGTTTAACGCCGCTGTGAACAGTATTTCAGTTTAATCACGGCGTGAGAGGGAAGACCGGAGTGACACAGTGGGGACAGGAGGCACGGAAGTACACTGTGAGAACCCATCCAGGAAATCAGGCTGTATGCGGTCCTTCCCAAAGAGGAAATGTGCATCCTGCTCCTATATAATGCTGCGAGGGCGATGGGATAGTTGTAGATGCATAGGAACAGTCTACTACAATTGTCACGAGTAAAAGCACGCGTGATACATGTGAATCCCTCACATGACGTATCTTCACACATGATACAAACATACCTTGTAGATTGACTAAACTACCTTGAATGTAACATATATCAGGGCCTGGCAAACAACATCCCTCATGTCATACCCTCTATCATATCACGTACATGAATGTTGGTAGTATATGTGGACACGAACTTTGTCTGCCGGGACAAACCCTAACCCCTAGAGTGGGTGTCAGAGTGTTTGACTTCCTAAATTGCAATCAGTTTCCATTAGATGGAAACAGCTTTGTTTGGCCAAAGGAACCCTTTATTCCCTCCTTGTCATTTTTCATTCTTAAAAAAATAAAAGTTTGAAAGCTGATTTAGGAAAATGAAATGCTAAAACCGTTATTTATGTTATAGTGCAAACGATTTCAATACTTTTATTCATTTATCTAAAATTGGTTCAATATGTTTCCAAGTGCACCGAAATTATATGCCCTTTGTTTAATACCTACAGAAAACATTCGGCGCATTCCCTCTTATCATAAGCCCCCTCCGGGCAGGACCCTTAATCTCCAACCTATCTATAAATGTCAATTAACACCTCCTTACGTCGCCGGATCTTACGTATAGACATAGACGTGGGACAACGGCCTTGCCCCACGTTATGTAATACCTCAACAAAACCCCACATACATGGTCAGTCAGGGAGACGCGGCAGAGATCGATTTGTGTAAGTGACAGAGAGGGTCTCCCCACCCGGGAACATTGGCCACTCGGTCCGGTGAGCGTTCTGTCATGTTATTATCAACATGTACCTTTTCGACCTATTCCACTCATCATCAATAAACATGGCTGCTGTCGTCTTAAACTTCACCCCTGAGTTTTGTCGTCCGTCTCCAACCTCGGCTACCATTCGAAGGCCGAAATGTACGCCTTTGGACATTTAATACAGCTTTCTGTTCTTAACGTCCATGTTCATGTTTAAAATGACATCATCGTCATTAATCAAATATTATTTGTTTCGGTAAGACATCCTGTGGACCTCAGATTCATGTTTGTTGTTTAAAGCCCACTGTCCATCTATATGACTGGTATGTTCGACATGTATACACAACACCAAAAATGGCTGCAGATAACGCCTGTTAAATTTGAGGATTTTGTACAAAATCTGCTGTGCAAAAGGTCGACAACACTGGTCAGTTTGATTCAAATGATTCACAAATTTCATAACTCAACAGATGGTAATCGATTGTTCAAGATTGACACACATTATTGTCATTGACCAAGGTTCCATATGGCACACATGGAACAGAAGGTTTTCAAGGTGAAGGTCATCTGTTCTCATTATCTTGTATGGTCACCATTAGAGTCCAAGACTGACTTGCATCGTCGCCCCATGGTAGCAACCACTCTGCCGTTCGCTTGTTGCATTATGGGAAGCACGTGTGGCCGAAGAATCTCATCCGTGTAACGTTCTGCCGTTAAATACCCTGGAACTTGCATCAAATCTGTTCTAACAGAGAAGGAGATGGCTTCCCACATCATCACACTACCACCACTAAATCTGTCCACTTCCTGTATGCAGTTTCGTGCATAACGTTTACCGCGACGCCTGTAAACACGACGTCTACCCTCCGAACGGCGAAGCATAAAACACGAGTCGGAGGCGGCGATGCAGGAATAGTTGTCTAGCGCGAATACCTTCAAGCAACTTGAATGACAACAGTGAGCAGTGGCCACGCAAACCACCGTGCAGTTTCCATCCCAGCTCTTAGAGTTGAAGGTGAAGTGTCACTGTCTCTTAACGGAATGGGGGACACATTATCAGCTGTTGTATCAGCGCTAAATAATGAAGTAACGAGATTAATTGGTAAGAAACCACCCGATGCCATTATAATAAAATATGTGACTTCTGAATCTTCAGCGCTGAGGAAAGGTAAAAAGAAAAAAAACCTTCCAGATGGAATAAGTCTTAAATATTTATACCAGGCCGTTGAGAGTCGAAGGAGGAGAGCGCCGTGCAACTGATCTGATTTGGTTTCTTGAGATATATAACATTAGACGATTGGTTATGAAAGAAGATGAGCCTTTTTCATATTATCTTAAACATGGGCCAGACAGGGGATTTGTACAAGAAGAATTGCTTATAGTTCCAAGCGATACAGTATTACCCCCCTAAGTTGCCATATGCCTAGGTAGTTACACCATCCTTCTCAATCCATCTCTTTGTGTCTAAGGGGGATAATGATGTCTTGTTCATTCTTAATCCATATATTCTGTGCTTGTCACTTCTGAAAGTTTGAATGTACTACTGTTGTATAATGCCACTTTGTATTGTTTGATATGCTTTTTTACCACATACTTCTTAACGCCTCTAGCTTTTCGTATCTCTCCACTAACATACTTCTTTATAGAATAAATACATCTTCGGTCTTAATCCAGCACACTCATCCTTCATTTCACCTAATACCTTTTTATTTACTGTGCTGTGCAATGGATTATCTTTTGGGTAATCGCTTGAATCATACACATCCATTTTTTTCTGCCATATCATTATACACATCATCGGTTTGTATTTCCATTAACAAAGAATCTGTATCAGTATATAACACCTCGCATCTTTCACGGTATTGCTTCTGAAGTTCATTGTAATAAAAATCGTTTACATTAAGTGTTTTGACAGACCAACGTATACTGGTCTGCTGAACGTTATATTACTCTTCCTCATATGTAATGCCACTATCATTATCCAATATCATACTTCTTTTTAAAGCAGGACTAGCTATTAGTTTCCTTAGTTTTTCTTCCTCATTAGATCTGACCAATTTGACATCAACACGCTTCTTTATATTCTCCATAGTTTTACCAAATACTGAGTTATTCATGAGCATACATAGGTTCTTTTCAAAATCACCAGTAGCCATCTTTCTTAAATCTGTGTTCAGCCTTATACAGGGCTCCATCCAAAAGCTTTGATCAAACTTAAGATTTCAATGTATTTTCTTTAGCTTCATACGTAATGGTAGATGTAGCTGGAGATTTCTATAGTGGACGTGCTATATATTTTGTCTTATCCATCACATTGGGTACGATTTTTTCTACGTTAGCTACCTTGCTATTTCCCATCAAGTTATGTTGAAATTCAGACATCCAATCTCTATTAAACATTAATCTTTCAGGAGCTAGCAGATAACTATTAGGGTTTTTATGCAAATTTGTGGGGTATTCTAAGTCAACTTAGTATGTACCCTTTATCAGAATCCTTACCACCTCTGAACCCTTTCTCAACAAACAAGTGCATATCATAACCAGGAAGTAGATTTAGTTCTATACCGGTCTTCTTCAATAATGCATCCCACGAGAGTCCGGGACTTGCATAGTACCATGCTGGATCCATACCATATTGTTTTAAACAGGTCTTTATAAATATCTCAGCAACATTGGCGAGTAATAGTACATCAATTTTTAAGTATAGATCATGATAATCGCCTAAGTTCTTACAACCTAATTTATCCCACACATTAAGAACATGTTTGTAATCAGCATCAGTTATTTTAGATTCTGTTAAGTTACTTTATAATGATTCAATGGGTGGTAATTTAGTTTCATTAAACCTAGACCAATCATCCATATATTCGCAAGGATATACACCCTTTCTCTACAACAAATGTCGAGTTAACTTATCAGTGTATTGACTTGTTATAGCAAAGTCATCAGGATTGTTTGCATTAGCTGAACGGTCCAGAGAAGATAACAGAAACTATCTATGAATCTAAGTCAATTACTTTGTTTTGTTTTCGCTTTCCCTTCCTTGTCTGTATAATGTGTAGGTGTAGTCAAAGAGAATGATGTATAACTTTCCATAGAACTAGGAATACATGCGCAAGTCTTTGAGGTAGCTTGCATGATGAGATGAGAATCATATCCTCTAACATTATGAAATACAACGGGGATTGGTATAGTTTGATGATTTTATAGCTCCTCTGTCATTGCCTTCTTATAGGCTCCAATCATCCTTTGTCATGCACATGAGCTCAGTATGTGATACATTTTCCCTGATTCTTATTCTCTGTTCATTTTGTAGAGGCACAAGCCTTATGTTCTTGAGTTTTGTATGGAAAACTGTATCCAGTACAGCGTTCTGTATTTTCAATCTGTGTTTTAAGAGCTTCAAAGTCGTTTCGGTGTAGGTTCTAACATCGTTATCAAGCAAGTGATCACTACACTACACTGAAACGTCACTCCTAATTGTAATAAAGAAGTTGTTCATCCATAAATTGTTTCCTTACTTAGTACTCCAGTTTCTAAAAGCCTCTCAAATAAGCTGTAATGATATTTACTATCTTTTTTTAACCAGAAATAAACTGATTCGTGAAATATTTTCCGGGGCAGAGCTCAACCTGTGTACAACAGTGCCCTTAGAATGCCCAAAACATTTATAGTTAAATTATTATGCTTTACTAACTTATTAATTTGTGAGGTTGGTGTAGGTGCATCTATACCTTCAAAGTTGATTCCATCATTTTGGGTATAGCTCGAAGGCCTATCAGGGCGTTTTTTTTAGAATTTGCAGGAAATAAGGCAGATCTCAATGCCCATCTTAAACAGTTATCATCATTATTTTTAATGTTAATTATGACTTGGTTTTTTTTGCT